AGCAGCTGGAACATGTAGCTATGTATGAATATGCATCAGCAGTAGCCTGAAGTCTGCAGAATAGACACAAATACCTAATATTTCTTTCAGTGTTTCTTTCTCTTTCTTGCAGTTTGTTTTTAGGACACAGCAAACACAGGATGTCATTAAGGATATCACAGCATAAGCAACAGTTGATATATCAATATGCAAGTCAAAAGAAGCAACAAGCTGATGTCCAGTTTCTGTTTTCCTACTTGGAAACTAGCCCCTTTTTATAATTCAAGTCTCTCTTTGCCTAATACAGGTCTCCTAGAGAGTGACATTCCCTGCGTGCCTTTAAACGACTCATGAATTTGGCAACCAACTATTCCTCCTCAGTCTAGGGCAGTGGTTCTCAACCTGTGGGTTCCCAGGTGTTTTGGCCTACAACTCCCAGAAATCCCAGCCACTTTAACAGCTGTTAGGATTTCTGCGAGTTGAAGACCAAAACATCTGGGTACCCACAGGTTGAGAACCACTGGTCTAGTGCTTTCTAAAGGATACAGATTACATTCCATTTTATTTTTGAGCATGAAGCATCCAAACAACTACAGGGAACAGTGCAGCACATTAAAAATGGGCAGGTAGCAAATAGCAAATCAACACTAAACATAGACTTGCACAAGGAGCATGGGCTAGCCCAAGCAACATGAGAGGGGCTTTCCACATAGTTAAAAATATGTAACAGAAACTCATGTAATATATGGGTCTATTGTGTACAGTTCAAATCACTATACATAAAAAGGATATTATATAGAACTAGAAAAGGTTCAGGAAACGGTAATAAAGTTATCAAAGGGCTGAAACAACTCTCCAATAAAAAGTTTACAATGTTTTAAAACATTTAATTTATAGGAGAAGTGAATAAAGAGAGACATGACAGAGGTACATAAAATTATGCAAGGTGAGGAGCAAGCACATAATATTAAACTCTGAGGCCATCCACTGAGGGTGAATAGTGGGAGAGTTGGCATAGATGAAAGGTTGCACTTCTTTACATGGCTCATAATCAAATTGTGGAGTTTACTGCAGAAAATATAGTTAAGACTGGGAGGTGCTGTACCCCTCTAACCCCAGAAAATGTGGGAGGATGACTGTTATTCCAAAATCTGGGAGAAAATTGAAATTCAAACCACTTCTGATGCAAAAAAAAAATCAAATAAAGGATATTCAACCTGTAGCAGTAAAGTACCACCAAGACTAACAACCCTGTAGTCCAATGTCTGAAAGCCCAGACAAGAGCTGGAAGGGTACTGCAGCATGAGTCTACTTTCATTATTCTTCAGTCCTAGGCTGGAAACTGCAATCGATACCTCTGACAACCTCTGTGGCCCCTTCTACACAGCTGAATAAAATCCCACTTATCTACTTTGAACTGTAATATATGGTAGTGTGGACTCAGATAACCCAGTTCAAAGCAGATACTGTGGGATTCTCTGCCTTGATATTCTGGGATATACAACTGTGTGGAAGGGTCCTGAGTGAGCATGTGAGAAAGAGATGGGGGAGGAGAGATGTAGAGAGCAGGGAGAGCGTGAGAGGGAGAGAGAAAGGGAGATAGAGAAAATGAAAGAGTGAAAAGAGGGGTAGGGAGAAAGGGAGAGAATGGAAGAGGTGCAAGAGACAGAGAATGAAAGAGAGAGCAGAAAAGAAAGGGGAGAGAAAAGAGAGAAAGGAGGAAAGGAGGCAGAGAGGGAAAGAGAAAGAAAAGGAGAGGGAAAGAAAAGAGGAGGAAAAGGGAAGGGGAGGGGGGGAAGGGAAAAGGAGAGAGGAGGAAAGGAGGGAAGAAAGAAGAGGAGAAGGAGAGAGAGGAAAAGAAAGGAGAGGAGGAAAGAGAAAGGAAGGGGAGGAAGGAAAAAGGGGAAAGGAGAGGGGGAGAAGAAAAAAAGAAGAGAAAAGAGAAAAGAGAGGGGGAAGGAAGCAAAGAGGGGACAAAGAAGAAGGAAGGAAAGGCTTGGTTTGGAGTCCAACACAAACAATTATTTCTGCTTTTGGAAACTGGAATTTATGGGCGCAAGTGGGGTGGACGGCTCCAGAATTTTAGGTAAACGGATGCAGATATTTTTGTGCAATAGTAACCTTTTCAATTGCCAGAGAGCCATACAGCTTCAACAGAACTCCCGACATCAGCAAAGGTGCCTTATGACCAGGCAGAAGGGATGGTAACATTTGTCCGTTGGACAGTAGGCTGGTTTGCAGGAAGGGGGAGAGAGAAAGAAGGAGAGAGAAATAAAGGAGAGGGGAGAGAAAAAGAAGGGGGGAAAGGGAGAAAGAGGGGGAGAGGGAGAGAGGGAAGAGAGAGAAAGTGAAAGAGGAAGAAAAAGAAAGGGAGAGGAAGAGAGAGGAAGAGAGGAAGGGGGAGAGAGAGAAAAGAGAAAAATAAAAGAGAGGAGAGAGAAAGTGGAGAAAAAGAAGGGGAGAGGAAGAGAGAGAGAAAGAGAAAGAGGGAGAGAGAAATAAAGAAGAGGGGAGAGAAAAAGAAGGAGGAGAAAAGGGAGAAAGAGAAGAGGAAGAGGGGGAGAGGGGAAGGAAGGGAGAGAAAGTGAAAGGAAGAAAAAGAAAGGGGGAGAGGGGGGAGAGGAAGGAAGGAAGAGGGAAGAGAGAGAGTAATAAAAGAGAGGGGAGAGAGAAAGAGGAGAAAAAGAGAGAGAAATAGAGGGGGAGAGGAGAGAGAGAGAAAGAAAGAGGGAGAGGGAAATAAAGGAGAGTGGGAGAGAAAAGAAGGAGGAGAAAAAGGGAGAAAGCGGGGGGGGGGGGAAGAGAGAGGGGAGAGAGGAAGGAAGGGAGAGAAAGTGAAAGAGAAAGAAAGGGGGAGAGGATGGAAGGCAGAAAGAGATAAAAGAGAGGGGAGAGAAAAGAGAGGATGAGAAAAAGAGAGAGAAAGACAGGGGGAGAGGAAGTAAGGGGAGAGAGAAAGAGGGAGAGAAATAAAGGAGAGGAGGGGAGTGAGGGAAAGAGAAAGAGGGAGAGAAAGAAAGAGGGAGAAAAAAGGGGAGTGAGGACAGAAGAGAGGGAGAAAAAAGGGAAAGAGGGAGAGAGAAACAAAGGAGCGGGTGAGAGAAAAAGAGGGTGATAAAAAAGAAGGGGAAAAAGAGAGAAAGAGGGGGAGAGGAAGAGAGAGGGGATGGGAGTAGAGAAATAAAGGAGAGGTTGAAGAGAAAGAAGAGAATGTAAAAGAGGTAAAAAAAAAAGTAAGAAAGTGGGTGGAGAAGGAAGAAGAGCGTAAGTATTTCCTTCCTCTGTGCAAACTTGTTTGAATGGGGGCGGTAGGAATGAAAAGGAACAATGAACATTTGTATAGGACAAGAGTAGTTGTAAGATCTGTCATCTCAGAGGGAATCCAAATTTACTGGAGGAAGTAGAGACCCTTCCACTTATATGTTTTTTTATATAATTACCGGTTTCGAAACGTTAAGAAAGACTGGGGTTACTACCTTCAGCATATGTCATGAATTTATAATAACGTTCCCTCATCTATAAAAAAGAACTGGGGGGTTTGAACCATAAGTAATTGTAGGTATCTTTAAGAGACCTCTTATACCAATCGAAACTACCAGCACAGCTGTTAATCTCCCACGAGTCAAGTAGTAAAAACCTGTCTGTATTTTGTGCGTACTCATATAAACTATGTTTTTCAACGTGAGGAAGTGTTAGTGTGTCTTCCTTCACAGACATTTTTATCCTACGAAATGAAAGGGGTGTTGTAATACACAAGTTGCAAGGAATGTCGAGAACTAAAAATCATCCACCTCTGTTTTTATTCTTCGTACATAAACTTACATGGTGGTAGAAAAAAGTGCAGAATCTTCACTGTTTATAAATTGTTAGTGCAGGAGAGAAATAGCCAAGATATGTTCTAGCCTCAATACGAGACTTGAGCAATCACTCGAAAAGATAGTTGGGGGTAGGACACCTTGCTTGTAGGATAAAGGGAAGAAGATGAAGGCTTGGGCGTGCTGACGGAGGTGAGTCACCAATTTCCGGTGGCACTGGAAAAAAAAATGACTTTCATCCAGTTCCCAGTCATCCCTCTCCGTTGCCCCAGGGCCAGCAATGCCAAAACACAACCCGTGGGGTGGGGGTTTTGTTGGTAATCCACGGAACCCATGTTCCCCAACCCACAAAGAGCGCTCCGCCCCCACGGCCGAATCCCGAATTTCCTTTGAATATGGACTGTAAAGCGAGGCAAGCAAGGGGTGATGCGGTCCAGATAAAAAAAAAAGGCAGCCTGGAAGGGGATGCCTCACCCTGAAGCCGCAACGCAGCTCCCTTCTTTCCTTCCTTGAACACAAAACACCCGGCCGAGCCAGCCTGCCTCCTTCCTCTCCTCCCTCCTCCTCCTCCTCCAGTGACAGCTTACATAAGAATGATCCCGGCTAATCAAAAGCGGAAGCCCGGGGCCGCCTTTTGGACTGGGAGCCGAAGAAGGGCCCCGATCCGACTCCCTTCCAGGCTGCAAACCTTTCCTGTTCGCTTCTGACAAGGCAAAAAAATAAAAAAAGGAGGGGGGTGACAACGTTAAGACCTGAAATGAACACAGACATTATTCGCAAGTGAGGGAAAGAAGGGAAGCCCGCCAGAATGGTCCCCGCCCCTTTCCAGCAAAAGAAAGAGAAAAGAGCATTACAATGAGTAATATTTGATTCCATTTTCTCCCCCCCTCCTCCCCCTCCCCCCAATGAACCCTGATGTAGAGAGATGGCTCTCCCGCTATTTCATTCCAAATAAGCACCGAGGAAAAGGTGGTTTTTTTTACCCCTTGAGGAAGAAACAAAGTTTTTTTTTTAACTCCCTCTCCCATGCTTCCTTGAGGGCCCCCGCCTGCCACACTACACTCCAGTTCCCCTTTCCATCCCCTATCCCCTCCCCCCCCCGTCCCCACTCCCCCTTTTCCCCATTTTCCCCTACCTTCTACCTTTTTACCCCCTTCTTTTAACCGCGTTTGGGATGAAGGGGAGGGAAAGGGGGGGGGGGCTTACCTTCTTTTCTCGCCTCCAAAAAAAAGAGAGAGAGAGAGCTTCTGCTGGACCTGAATGAGGCGGTGCTTCAGCTGACAGGAGAAGGAGGAGGGAGACTGTCAGAGGATGCTGAGGAGGAGGAGGAGGAGGCGGGGAGAGCGCGCGCGCGAGACTTTCCCAGGGCGGCTTGTTTACGCCTCGCTTTGCCCTGCTTCCCCTGCACGCGCAGCCGGCGCGCGCTGATTGGACGCAAACTGGGGCACAGCCTCTCGCGCCTTCGCTTGACAGGCAGGCTGCAAGGGAAAGAGGAGGGGGAGGGACGTACACGCAGAGCTCCTGCTGATGGGGCTTGTGTCAAGTTTGCAACTAACGAGCTTCTTTCGTCCCCTTCCTCGTTTCAATTCTTCGTGTTGCTCTCTTCCTGGTTCTCTGGTCATTCATGCCTACTAGCCAGAGCCCTCCAGAGGTTCGCGCATGCTCAGCAAGGTCCGGTGAAGTCACAGGGAAGCTGCTGCTTCTGCCCTCACTCCCCTCAGAGCTGCCCTGCAGAACTGAGGGGAATTCTACTTCAGGTAATAATAGTAATAATCTTTGCACCTGTATTTCTAGGTGCAAAGATTACTGCAGATGCAGACTGTGGCCAGGAAATCAGAAGACGCTTACTTCTTGGGAGGAGAGCAATGTCCAATCTCGATAAAATAGTAAAGAGTAGAGACATCACACTGGCAACAAAGATCCGCATAGTCAAAGCCATGGTATTCCCTGTAGTAACCTACAGATGTGAGAGCTGGACCTTAGGGAAGGCTGAGCGAAGGAAGATCGATGCTTTTGAGCTGTGATGTTGGAGGAAAGTGCTGAGAGTGCCTTGGACTGCGAGAAGATCCAACCAGTCCATCCTCCAGGAAATAAAGCCTGACTGCTCATTGGAGGGAAGGATACTAGAGACAAAGTTGAAGTACTTTGGCCACATCATGAGGGGACAGCAAAGCCTAGAGAAGACAATGATGCTGGGGAAAGTGGAAGGCAAAAGGAAGAGGGGCCGACCAAGGGCAAGATGGATGGATGGCATCCTTGAAGTGACTGGACTATCCTTGAAAGAGCTGGGGGTGGTGACGGCCGACAGGGAGCTCTGGCGTGGGCTGGTTCATGAGGTCACGAAGAGTCGGAGACGACTGAACGAATGAACAACAAAAAGCTGGGTCCCGAAGCTCCGAGCGTTAAGGAGATGCCGCATTGCTCCTATGGGGGCGCTGTTTGCGCAAGAGAGACTTAGCTAATGTAAGCCAGGCTGGAGGAAGATAATATAGAAGGAATGCAAGAGTTCTTTAATGGTGAAAACCTTACCCTTACTTACGCTAACCCAAACCCTATATCTTAACCCGTACCCTAACTGTAACCCCTAACCATTAGCCTAATCGTAACCCTAACCCAAACCCTAAACCTTACCCTAACCCTTATACTAACCCAAATCCTAAACCTTACCCTAACCCTGCGGTGGCGTAGTGGGTTAAACCCCTGTGTCAGCAGGACTGAAGATCAACAGGTCGCAGGTTCGAATTCAGGGAGAGTGCGGATGAGCTCCCTCTATCAGCTTCAGCACGGCCAATTTTCTCACACACTTGCAGTTTCTCAAGTCGCTCCTGACACAACAAAAAAACAAAAACAAAAAAAACCTAACCCTGAACCATACTGTAAGCCTAAGCATAAACCCTTACCCAAACCCTTGCCCTTACCCTAATCCTTATGCTAACCCTAACCCTAACCCTGAACCATACCGTAAGCCTAAGCCTAACCCCTTACCCAAAACCTTGCCCTAACCTTAACCTTAAACCAAACCCTAAACCTTTCTCTAACTCTTACACTAACCCTAACCCTTACCTTAACCCTGAACCATACCATAAGCCTAATCCTAACCCCTTACACATACCCCTGCCCTAACCCTTACCCTAACCCATATCCTAAACCTTACCCTAATCTTTACGCTAACCCTAACACTAAATGTTACCCTAACCCTTATGCTAACCCTAACCCTTACCCTAACCCTGAACCATACTGTAAGCCTAAGCCTAACCCCTTACCCAAACCCTTGCCCTAACCCTAACCCTGACCCATACCGTAAGCCTAAGCCTAACCCCTTACCCAAACCTTTACCCTAACCCTAACCCTTATGCTAATCCTATCCCTACCCTAACCCTAATCCTGAACCATACTGTAAGCCTAAGCCTAACCCCTTACCCAAACTCTTGCCCTAACCCTTACCCTAAGCATCCCCTCCTTTCTATCCTTCCTTCGCTCTCCCTGCTCTCACTCTGCCCCCCCTCTTCCCTTATTCACAGCCACCTTTGCGGCACCTCCGTAACGCTCAGAGCTTTTATAAGTATTTTCGAACCCAGCTATCATACTATCACCCTACTTCATCACATTAGAGAATGAATGCCCTTTAAATCCTGTTTCTGCCTCCTGCAGAATTCTGCGGTTTGTAGTTTAGTGAGCTCCTCCCTAAACTACAAACACCAGAATTCTGCAGGAGGCAGCAACTAGATTTAAAGTGGATTCATTCTCTAGTGTGATGAGGTCCTTCGGGTGCATCCAATGAATGTAGCCCAAGTCCAGTTTAACCTGGCATAGCTCAAGGCTAGGGAGTTCGTGGGAGTTGTAGTTTTACAAGGTCTTTTAGCCTTGGGGAAACTACAGCTCCCAAACTATAGCTCCCAGGATTCCATCGCAGTTTATATTGCTTAATATGAGAGATATTCAATGCCGTGGCTTTAAAAAAAGTTTTTGTCAAAACTTTAGAGAAATCCCATAAATCAGATATATGAATATTTCTGAAAGTTGGGGGAATTACCCCTGTTACCTTGTGTCATTGTATAGAAAATTCAAGGAAACAGCTCTTGTATTTTTTTAAATGTTGTTTATAAAAACTTTGTCAATTCTCTAAAATTAGAAGATAAGTAAAACATTCTGAAATTTGGTGGACTAAGAGGGGTGAATGTAGTTTGCCACTGTAGCAAGTTTCATTGGGATAGCTCTAAAAATGAGGGAGAGAGAAGCCCCTAAAGTTTCTCCAATGATAGGAATTATTTCATTAATGCACATGCACAACGAAATTTTCACCAGGTACACTTTAGAATCACTTTAGAAATGAAGCACCAGCGCCCGCCAGTTTTATAAGTACTTTTGAACCATTTTTAAAATCGATTGTACATGCGTAATGGCTACATCCTATGGCATTCCAGGCTTTGTAGAGAACTAGTAGAAAAGATGATTTTCTCTGGCAGAAAATTCTAAATATTCCTCCCTAAACTGGAAATCCCAGAATTCCATAGGATGAAACCATAGCACTTAAAATGGAATCAATTGATTATTATTATAACAAGTCAGTCATTACGGTGTAATAACTGGATTAAGACCTCATTTGGCTATGAAACCCACTGGGTAACCTTGGGTCTGTCACACACTTTGAGTTCCAGAGGAAGGCGATACCAAACCCCTTCCAAACAAATCTTGCTAAGAAAACACTGTGATAGGGTCTAGTAGAAAAGATGAAGATTGCAGTAAAAGATAGGAAGAGAATGGTGTTCCAAAAGGAGTAGAAGTTGTGTTAAGAAAACAGAAAAATGTGAAACTGGGGAACCTGTTTGATCAGAGGAAGCATAGCAGAAGGAGAGTTAAGAGGAAGCAAACTTGGGGTTAAGAGGAATGAAGAAAGCAAAATTAATTGACATAGAGCAGAGCTTTCCAAATGTGTGTTGCGACATATTAACATGTCAGCTGAAGTGTGTAGGTGTGTCGTGTGAACATAATGAGAAATGACAAAAATTTGGTAAATGTATGTTATTATCTTACAAATCATATATTTAAAAATTATAAATGAAAGGTTTTCATGAGCTATATTATGTCCCCATACATTTGTTATTGCAATGTGTGCATGTGTCTGTATCTCTTATGAAGGATTGGTTCAACCTCCGGTTTGCTAGTAAAACTGAATGTGTCCTGAAAATGAAGCATGGCTAAACAGCGTGTTGTTGACATGATATTTTGGAAAGCTTTGCAGTAACTAAATTAAGTCAGGATTAGGCTGCCATTAGGTGGGTCTACTGTGTCCTCGGACACATGATAGGTGAGGCAAGAGGGATTGTGACACAGCTGGCTGAGTGTCAGCTGCATTAAGATCACTCTTACCAAAAGGTCATGAGTTCGAAGCCAGCCCGGGTTGGAGTGGGTTTCCAACCAATTGTGTGTAGTCTGTTGTCGGCCTTTGCAACCCGAAAGACAGTTGCATCTGTCAAGTAGGAAAATTAGGTACCACCTTAAAGTGTGGGGAGGCTAAATTAACTGATTTATGAGGCCATAAAGAAGACTCCAGCAAAGCATTCCAGCGGGGAAGCATGCGGGGAATGTGGAAGTGCTTCATCAGCGTCGCAGATGGACGCTGAAAGCGACAGCTCCCCTGGCGGCCAGAAAAAAGTTAAATAGCCTCTGTGTATGGCTGTATATGTTTGTATGTCAAAAATTGGCATTGAATGTTTGCCAAATATGTGTACATTGTAATCCGCCATGAGTCCCCTGCGGGGCGAGAAGGGTGGAATATAAAAGCTGTAAATAAATAAATAAATAAATAAATAAATAAATAAATAAATAAGAGCTTACTTATATCTAGGCAGAGCTGGAGATAGTGGTGGCTGGGCTGGAGGTAGGACTGGAGGAAGTGGTGGTGGTTGTACTTGAACCTATAGAGTAGTCAAAAATTATGTATGTGTCCATGACTCTTATAAGAGATTGGTTTAACTTACAGTTTGCCAGTAAAAACTGAATTACTGTGATACACATCTAAAAAGTGTGTCACCAACATGAATTTTTTGGAAAATTCTGATATAAATAAGCAGGAACCTGGAAGACTTCACATTTGGATCAGGTTGCCAAAAGTTATGCAAGAATCCAGTCCTCTCTGAAACATCTTTATTCAATTCCAGCTTGGAAATAGGGTGTTACCACCTCATCACACGGAGAGAAATTTGTGTCTTAGCTTGCTACCAGGATGCTTCCTCCATGGATTCCATCACACAAAATATGGCTATTTCTGGTGGGGCTCTGTAATTAAATCATCATGGCAGTATGCTAGGATGCTTTCTAGGGAACACAGGAGGATTCCCATGTTTCATGGGAAAGAGGGGGGGAAGCCGGGTGT